ACTATAGAGAGCAAATTCCCCTCTGGTTATTCAGTTAAAATCTAGTTTTAAAAAATCAGTCAGTTATTTATAAACCTTTCTATCAACAGCAAACTTTCTGTTTAAAAAAACAAAGACAGGGGTGCCTCAGTGACTCAGACGGTTGGGCATCTGCTTTTGGCTCAGGTCATGATCTCCACGTCCTGGGATCAAGCCGGGTATCCAGCTCCCTGCTCAGCTGGGAGTCTCTTCTTCTGCCCCTCCCCCTGTGCATGTTCTATCTCTCCATATCTCTCTGTCTCAAATGAATAAAATCTTAAAAAAAAAATTTAAAAATTTTAAAAGACAACTACTCATTTATTTTTGTATTCAAATTACAATGCAAGTGTCAATTAAGCAATTTAAGATCATAGACAGCAAGATAAAATGCCTAATGAGAAAAAGAATATGAGAGGAAAAAAGTAGCAAGGATTAGAAGCGGAAGACTGAAAGTGAATATTCAACTTTGGGAAGAATATTAAATGCATTCCATTAGAAAGAAATTAACACAGATTTCTGGATGAAGAGAGTTCATTAAAATGAAAACAAATGTATAACCTCTAGAAAACAAAGAGACTGTGGGGCAGGCAGGGGCAGACATCGATGGCAAAAGGATTTCCATAAATTTCTTGAGTGAGCCAATCAAGAAGAAACAATGACTGATAAATCAGCATAAGAAGCTGTAACCCACTATTTGCATTAAAGAGAAGAAAGCTAAGGAAGAAAACAAACTAGGCTACATTATCCTGAACTCCAGACATAACAAGTGTGAGATGTGGGGCTGAAAAACTCTAAAATCAAAAATGTTCAGTCATCTTTGCTCTTGCCTTATTCTTAGATACTAGATATGAATAAGTAACCAAAACAGTTGAGAAAAGACTACAACATGAAAGAGAAAAAATAAGAGAAAGAAACCCTAAAGAAAACATTAATATTTTAGGAAGCAAAAGACAGTGTTTAAAACTAATTCGTATTTTAAGAGAGATATAAGGATATTACATCTACAGAAGGAGAAACTAGCTGTTATAAAAATGAAATAATCAATAAACAAGTAAAGTTATTGAATACCAAAAATATGCCTGCTAAGAAAGTAGGGAATTTTCAAAATAATCTTACATAATGTACAACAAAACAACATAAGTGTAAGAAATAATGTGAGAAAAGATAAGAGATATGAAGATTCAATCTAGGATGTCTAATATCTGATCAGTGAGAATACCAGAAAAAGAGAATAGGGAGAATCAGGAGGGCAAATTATCAAACAAATAAAGGAAGAGGATTTCACAGAGCCATCCTCAAACTGCAATCCTACTGGCTCTGCTATTTTTTGTGTCAGATTTGACATCAGGTTTTTATCCATCCAGAAACAAAAAGCCATAGCAGTTCAAGGTCTTAAACCCACACATTCTTCTGTACTGGGGAGTGTTTATTTTCTGCCAACCATTCACCATCCTAGGCCTCATTCTATTTGGTACACATAAGTTAACAAAGCTATCACTGATCCAATTGCTATAGTCAGGAGAATGCCATATTGTGACTGGCTTTCCCCTGGATTAATACCAACTCTGAATGGTCACTATGGGGAAGAAGATAGGGACATGCTGCCACTCAGTAGGAAGCTTCAGAAGGGATCCTGGAGAAGCAACGTTCAATATCCAATGCATTGTTGTGACATTTCTGTACACCAACCATAAAGGCACAATCATAAAAGTTAAGAGGGAGGAAAAAGACTCAGCTAAAAAGAACAAAAATCATATCAGCCGCAAATCTCTCATCAGCAAAATGCTAGCAGACCATGAAGCAGTATCTTCAATGGTTTAAAGAAAAATTATTTTTCAATCTAAAATTTTAAGTTTAACCAATGTATCCATCAAATGTGAGGGCAGAAAAGGAACGCTATCAAAATGTAAGGATTTGAAAGTACCTTCTCTATGAAGTTTCTTAAAGATGGACTCTACTGAAGAGAGGGAATAACCAAGAAAAAGGAAGATATCAGGAACAGTAAGAAGGGCCTCCAAAACACTGGAGAAAGAATAAATATGTTAATCCTTAAATATATTCTCCAGCGTGATATGGTGTTTACATGGATCCTTCAGTAACAATTACATTTATTCTGTGACTTAAAAAGAAAACACAAAGAATTTGAAAATTACCAGGAAATAATCCAAGTTATCTATATGGCAAATTAATCCAGATGAAAACCATGGAGAAATTTTAATATTAAATAAATTCTAAAGAAAAAAAGCCTAGCTTATGAAAACCACGTTATCTTGTAACCTTGAAATATACATATGTATCTACTTGTCATAGTCACCTGGTCATCTAGGAGGTACAAAGGCTTATTACATTTCTAGTAGTTTTTAAAACTTCTACAAAATAGTTAGGAAACTTAACTCCAAATTCTTCCAAGTCATTGTGACTTTTTTTTCAGCAATTAGTCAATTACATACTTTGCAAAAAGAAATATCTCCTACTCAAAAATTAGCTCTAGTATTTTGTGGAAAAAAGAGATACAAGAACAAAAGTTTGACTTACATACAAAAGTCACAAAACTGCAATCTGTTACAAATAAATGTTTATAATGAAAATGAATCTAAATGCTTCCAATGCTCATTAATATTCAAAGGATTAACAAATGCAATTCCATCTTTTTCTTAGAATGAGTAAACACTAACTTGAAGAATTATAGCTTTTCTAGATTCATTTTTTTCCATAATTACTCAATTATTCATTAGAATATGTAAGACCTCTATTGGAATCCTTATAGGAGTGCTTCATAAATGGATTTAACTATAAAAGTCTGGTTATACAATATCTTCTATAAAAGCAATATATTTCCAATATTTATGTCCTTAAAATATCCTGTAGTAAAACTAATATTTCTATACAGAAAAAGAAGGAACTATTTAGTCCCCGACAACTTGATAACATCTCTTTCAACTGTAGTTATAATTATCATGTACGAACTTCCAAAGCAGTTGTCAAGATTTAACATTAGCATTAATTTATGTCATAACTGACGGTTACTATAAAGATAATGGGAAAGCATCCATTTTTCCAAAGACAGCATGGATCGAAAGGGAAATTTCTTCTTAATTACTACTAATCTGCCCATTTTTAATTAAATTGATTAGTAATTTATTATCTTTCCCTTTCTTGGAAGGCTGTTATTATCACATAGCTTCTCCAAAGTTATCAGTTATCAGTGATTTTTAAGCAATCCAATTACTTCTCACGTGAATCCCACCATTTTGTAATACTGGTTTATGCTAAAAACTTATTACCCAATATCTTTGTACCCCGAAAAAGAAATTTTAAAAATTTAGACTTTGTACCTCAGTATTTCACACCTTAAAATGAACAGTGTCAAGATCTTATTTATATAGAGAACACCATTTAAGTGGAACTTTTTATGCCTTTCTCCCTTGTTTGATAAGCAAAATAGTTGTTATTAATATGTATCTTCCCACAGGAAAGAAAGGAGCTCCCTGTAATTTCCTTTGAAAAATATCTATTTCTTATACTATCTGTAACTAAACAGTAAATTATGGCATTATTCCAAAAATTTTCCCTATCAGTTTTTTTTAAAGGGTAAATAAAAATGAAAATGTTCTGACATACAAAATGAGATGAATTTTAATTAAGCAAACTTTGAAAGAATTTAAGTGCTTCATATATTTTTCTTAATTAAAATCCTTAATTGGTATTATTAAGCTTTGATCAGTATCAAATTTTAAGTATAACACGGAAGTAGCTATTTGACACCAGCAAATTTTCATGACATTAGTTCATAATACAACTTCTGAAAAGCTGAGCTTCTATGAAGAATGAGAAAAATAAAATGCAGTGCTTCTTGGTAGAAAGGACAGAAATCTTGCTTTCTTTTGCGAAAATATGCTAAGACAAGCAGGAAACATTAGCTTAAAGTCCCTATTTCATTAAATATGCCCTGTATGAACTGACTATAGCTGACTGAAAAAACTTCATATTGAGAAGAATACAAAATGTAGTCAAATAGTTAACTATCAATGAGAATGAAAAGATAATGGCTTAGTATAAAATAATCTCCATGAATTAACATACACTGAATATAGTATATATTAGATATATGAGTCCCAGGTTTTCTCTCCTAAATTTTCTGTTTGGAAAAATTAACAATCAATGCATAATGGTTGCTAAACTCTATGTACTGGGGCTTAAGTATTTATTTATTTATTTACTTATTTATTTTCTTTCAAGAGTTTTATTTACTTGAGCGAGAGGGAGAGAGTTAAAAGATGAGCAGATGAGGAGCAGTGGGAGATGCAGACCCACCACTGAGCAGGGAGCCTGATATGGGGCTTGATCCTGGGACTCCAGGATCATGACCTGAGCTGAAGGCAGGCACTTAACCAACCGAGCCACCCAGGTGCCGCAGGACATAAGTATTTAATTCATAACTCTCTTACTAGATTTAAGCAAGGCTCAGTCTCTTGCTTTCATTAGGTCTATTTAAATTTCACCATACCAGAAAGGTCTTGCTTGACCACCCCTTGTCATCACTTCTTATCATTCTTCTCCATTATACACCAAGTGTATGATTTGCTTGTCTGTCTATTGTCCATCTGCTTCCACTGGAAAGTAAGCTACAGCAGAACAGGGCTTTGTCTGATCTGATCATTGCTTGAGACACATCTCCAGTATCTAGAACTATATACCACACACATAGTACACATTCAATAAGTACTTGCCTAGAAAAAAATCATTAAAAGATCACCAGCTACAAAATCCTAAGGAAAACTTAATTAAATATCATCTGACAATCCTGAATGCTAAACAATAACAAAAGTTTTGTTTTTAAATAGTATTTAATATAAAGGCATAATGTTTTCTTTTCTATCCAAAAAGATAAAATACCTTTTCAAAGAATAGTTGGGCCACTAACAGTTGTTAATTATTTATTACTAAGTAATTAAGTTAATGTAATTGGTCACTGGGCATACCTTAACAAGTTTCAAAAGCTCATAGAGATCTTCGACCTCATCACCTTCGCATTTGGTATACACTCGTCCTGTATCCACACTCCTTCCTCTAATGGTGCGGCGGTAGAGGGGAAGAGCCATTGCTTCCGCATACAAATCAATAGCGTGATGACCCACTGTCTGATACATGTAGCTATCCAGTTCATCTGCCCCCACTGCAACAATGAAAGTAGAAATAATCAGTAAAACAGAGTGAAAAAGAAAAAAGATTTGAAAGTCCATCTGAGTTTTACTGCTTGGAGACTTACTACACTATTTATCTCTCTGCATTTACTAAGTGAAATAAAGGGGTAGAGTTGCACATTTGTCCATAGCTGCATCCACCTCACATCAGCTCTAGTCATCTCTATTGCTAATTACAAATACATACAAATTTTTAAAACTACATACAATAACTGTTTAAAGAGAATAATATAGCCAATAAATTTTAATTACTTTATTTGATTAAAGATTTTACTACATAAATGTTTCTCAAATCATTCAAGGTTATTTACAAAGTCATCTAGAGTTGTAGGAAAAAAAACCTTGACAAATACATATAAAAATAAATCACATGCTCTTGATATATTTTATATTCAGTATTTCAACAAGACATACAAAAATATATAAATTATGGGGGGGACACCTGGGCGGCTCAGTGGGTTAAAGCCTCTGCATTCAGCTCAGGTCATGATCTCAGGACCTTGGGATCGAGCCCTGCATCGGGATCTCTGCTCAGCAGGGAGCCTGCTTCCTCCCCTTCTCTCTGCCTGCCTCTCTGCCTACTTGTGATCTCTCTCTCTCTCTGTCAAATAAATAAGTAAAATATTAAAAAAAAAAAAAAATATATATATATATATATATATAAAAAATGAGGCAGTCCAAGATGGCTGCATGAAAAGACCCTGAACTCACCTCCTTCTTCAGACATACCAAAACTATAATTATGTATGGAATAATTCCCAGTGAATTCTAGCTGAATAGCTCTCTCCACAAGGGATTAAAGGGCCACATCAAGGTGGCAGAAGCAGAGACTCCATCTCACCCCAAACCCAGCAGTGACCTACAACAAGAAGGGAGCTTACAATACTGAAGCCTCTCTCTGAGGAGTGAAAGGTTTATGCAGTCTGACACCTCAACCCTGTAGGACCTGCACAGGAAAGACAAGGCCCAGAAAACATCTGGCTTTGAAAACCAGTGGGGCATACACCCAGGAGGACTGGGAGACTGCAGGGATTTGAGATATTCATTTTGAGGAGCTTGTGCAATGACTCACTCCTCCCAGGACCCAGGACAAAGTCAGCAGTTTGAGAAACGACTGGATTATATGAAGACTCATCTAATGTTAAAGTGACTGCTGAAGGGATAGAGACAAATGAGGACTTTCTTTGGAGATGGAGAACACCATTTTCCCACTCTCCATCTCTCTTTACCTTGCTAATACTGGTGGCAAGTACAGGTGTCTGGCTCCCAATACTTTTCTCCTATGTGGGTAAAGTTATGGGCATGCCCCACCCTCAGGGCACTTTCCTGGCCCTGGTAAATCCACAGGTGAGCCCTACCTCCATGCTCTTTTCCTGCATTGCCAAAGTTGTGGGCATGTCCTACCCCAGTGCTCCTCCCACATCTTGATAAAGCCATCAGTATGCTCTATACCCAGCACTCTTCTCCCTGCATCACCAAAACCATGAACAGCTCACCTTCAGCATTCTCCTGAGGCCTGACTAAAGCTGGCCACCAAACACAGTCCACACAAGGGACACCCCTTAATCACCACAACCTGGTAGCCAAAGGGGCTTCTGTTTCTGGGCCCCACAACCAGAGAGACAGTTCTGCACAGGTTACCAAACCTACAGCACTGCACAGATAGCAGACTGAACTCATCTCAAGTCTGCCTGTGAAAATGGCCCATCTACTTGTCCTGGAGCTTCAACCTGAGGGACAGGCTTCATGTTAGTCACATATTGAGAGATTAGAGAGGTGCTCTCAGGGACCACAGGCAGGGAGATGAGCCCTGCCTTCTTTGAGCCCCAACATGGCCTTGTCACAGCTCACTGCTACCTCCCAGAAAGAAGCTTATACACTTGTCAGAAGCCCTGCTTTTTGTAACTGTTGCCCAGAGGACACATCCAGATCTCCTGGTCTGGTAGCAGAGTTTACACTTGTGGTCCCACAGAAATGTATATATTTGCATTCTTCAAAAGCTGCTGCCTGAGGATCTAGTGTCCAGAAACTAGGTCTTGACTAAGATCACTCTATTTGGAACACTGACAGATCTTGGCACACCTTCAACAATGGGGACCTATCAAGAATAAATAAGTTTATTTAGACAATCACAAAAATTTAAGAGACAACCAAGAGCTAGGGCAAAGCTGAACAACAAGGTTCATCTCCTACAGAAGTCCATTCCTTTAAGACTAGAAGAGGTATCTGTTTCATCTAATAATAGAGCAAACAAAGAGAGTAAAGCAAAATGAAGAAACAGAGGAATATGTTCCAATTGAAAGAACAAAAAAAAAACATCAGAAAAACATCTTAATGAAGCGGAGTTAAAGAATTTACCTGATAAAGAGTTCAAAGCAGTATTTATAAAGATATTCACTGAATTCAAAAGAAGAACGGATGAGCACAGTGAAACTTCAACAATGAGACAGAAAATATAAGAAACTACCAAACAGAAGTCACAGAGCTAAAGAATACAAAAACTGAACTGAAAAATACACTACAGGAGTTTAATAGCAGACTAGAAGAAGTAGAAAAAGTGATCAGTGAGCTGCCAGACAAAGCAATGGAACTCACCCAAAAAGAGCAGTAAAAAGAAAAAAAATAAGTGAAGATAGTTAAAATGACTTATAAGACAACATTAAGGGTAATAATGTTCATATTACTGAGGTCCCAGAAGGAGAAAAGAGAAAGAAGCAGAAAGCTTATCGAAGAAATAATGGCTAAAAACTTCCCTAACCTGAGGAAACAGACATCCAAGTCCAGAAGGCAAAGGGAGTTCCAAATAAGATGAACCCCCCAAAATGCATACCAAGACACATTATAATTAAAATATCAAAAGGTAAAGATAAAAAGAGAATATTAAAATCAGTAAGAAGGGGCACTTGGGTGGCTCAGTCCTTAAGCGTCTTATTTCAGCGCAGGTCATGATCCCAGGGTCCTTGGATCGAGCCCTGCATCAGGTTCCCTACTCAGAGGAAAGCCTGCTTCTCCCTCTCCCCCTCCCCTTGCTTGTGTTCCTTCTCTTGCTGTTTCTCTCTCTCTGGCAAATAAATAAATAGATAAATAAATAAATCTTAAAAAAAGAAAAAAAGGTAGTAAGAAAATAAACTAGTTACATACAAAGGGAATACCCCCTCCCCCCCCCGTAACACTATCAGCTGATTTTTCAGCAGAAACTTTGCAGGCCAGAAGATAGTATCAAAATATACTTAAAGTGCTGAAAGGGAAAAGAAAACAAAACAAAATAAACAAAGCAAAACAAAACAAAACCTCCAACCAATAATAATCTACCTAGCAAAATTATCAGTCAGAATTGAAGGAGAGAGAATGATTTTTCCAGACAAGAAAAACTAAAGGAGTTTACCACCATTTAACTGGCCTTATAAGAAATTTTAAAGGGACTTCTTTAGGGTATAAAGAAAAGGCACTGTCTAATAACTAGAACACACATGCAAGTAAAAATCTAATGGGTTAAGGCAAATATATAGTAAAGGGAGTGAATTAACCATTTATAAAATCAACATAAAGGCTGAAGAGCAAAAGTAGAAACATTAACTATAATTACAATAGTCAATTTAGGGACATACAAGACTAAAAGATATCCAATATAATATTAAAAACATAAAGTGTAGGGGAGGGAATGTGTCTTTTAAAATGCATTCAGATTAAAGTTGCTATCAACGTAAAACAAACTGCTATATATAGACTGTTAGGTATATATGAAACTCATGCCAACCAAAAACCAAAAACCTATAGTGAATACACAAAAGATAATAAGAAAAGAACCTAAACATAATGCTAAAAAAAGGCATTAAACAACAAGGGAAGACAGCAAGAAAAGAAGAAATTAACAGAGAGAAACTACAAAAAAGACAGGAAACTTAACAAAATGGCAATAAGTTATATACCTATCAATAATAACTTTAAATGTAAATGGACTACATTTTTCAATTAAAAGGCAGAGTGTAACTGAAAAGATTTATTTAAAAAAAAAAAAGGCAAATCACAAGGCTCATCTCTTTTGCCTAAAAGAGACTAACTTTAGATTAAGGACACACAAAAGAAGAAAATAAAGGGAATGGAAAAGATATTCCATGCAAATGGAAATAAAGCTGACAAAACAGACTTTAAAACAAAGACAGTAACAAAACATAAAGAGCATTATATAATGATAAAAGGATCAATCCAAAAAGATATAAAATTTGTAAATGAAGAACCTAATTACATAAATATTACCAGATCGACTATTACTGGACTAAAAGGAGAAATGAACAGTAATACAATAATAGTAGAGAACTTTAATACCCCTACTTACAGCAATAAATTGATCATCCAGAGAGAAAAATCAACAAGGAAATATAAGCCTTAAATGAATGACACAAGACCAGATGAACTTGATAGATTTATAAAGACCATCCCATCCAAAAGCAGCAGAATACACAGATTCTTCTCAAGTGCACATGGAACTTTCTCCAGGATAGATCTCATGTTAGACCAGAAAAAAACTCAATAAATTTAAGAAGTCTGAAATAATATCAAGCATCTTCTCTGACCACAATGGTATGAAAACTAGAAATCAATTACCAGAAGAAAACTGGAAAGATCCCAAGTATGTGGAGATTAAACAACATGCTACTGAACTAACGCATCAATAAAGAAATCAAAGGAGAAGTCAAAAAATACCTTGAGACAAATGAAAATGGAATTAAAACAATCCAACATCTATGGGATGCAGCAAAGGCAGTTATTAGAGAATAGTTCATAGCAATACAGACCTACCTCAAGAAACAAGACAAATCTCAAATACACAATTTAACTTAACATCTAAGGAACTAGAAAAAGAATAAACAAAGCCCAAAGTTAGAAGTAAGGGAACAACACAGAGTATAGCAGAAATAAATGAAGTAGAGACTAATAAGACAAAAGAAAAGATCAATGAAATTAAGAGCTG